ACTCCGACACAAAATAGAACATGGTGATTAACAGGAGTCTGGATGTCCCATTTAGGATCGTGTTCCCGAGGATAGAAATCGCCATACAGGCGTTTACGGATACTGGTGTTGAGGAAGAAGAAATACATGGTAAGATTTATGGTATTTTCATGTTCTGATTTTGTAAGTATTTTCATCTTCTTTTTTTGATTTTTTTCATGGAAATATTTCTCGTGAAAAGTAATTATGTGATTCTAACAAGTCATGATGTTTCAGAAATCTTAAAGAACACAAAAATAATTCTATGAGAATATTGCACACCAGGTGTTTGTAGAAATGTCTGAAAGAGAACTTGATGTTCAAATTCTTGAAGAACACAAAAATAATTTATGAGTTCGTTATTTGTGTTACTTGATTTTATCATTTAGTATGAGTTCTCTTAGAATTACTAAAATTTGTTTTATTTTTGTCGTATAAAAGCATTCTCACATAGTTTTATTCTTGCATAATTCATTTTCATGACAGTTATTCTCATAGAATGAATGAAGTACATGATGATCAATGACCCGAAGGTTGGATGAATGCGTGTGGGATAGACATGAACAATCCTCAATGGTCACCGATCTTCCAGAAAAATGCACTACTCATTGTCATATTCTGTTAGATTAATCTATAATAGAATGATAAGAGTATATGTAATAGTATATTCCAATAGAATAATCTACATATTATATTTGTTTGTTATTAGGGAGTGTTTCATTATTATAGAATAAAATATAAAGTTTTTTATTTTTTCAAGGATGTGATAGAAAAATTTTAACTTGTATCTAAAAATTTGTTTATTCTGCGAGAAGTAAGTCTCTTTATTAGTTTATGGCTTGCATTTTCATAGAATATCATTATAAAAAGAATGTCATTCTGACAGAATAAAACCGGATATGATTAAAAATTATGTTAGAATTATTTAAACTAAATTAATTTAAAAAAAATCAAAATTCAAAAATTAAGATAATCAAAGATCCAATAAAATCTGAAAGTTTGTTTTTTTAAATTTTGGTTTCCTAATTTTAAGGCAATGCAAATGTACAATATTACCCTTCTTTTAATTAAATGGCATTATTCTATTTTTCTTTTATTTAATAATATAGGTAAATCACTTTCTTAAAATAAGTAAAATGATTGGCTCACATTTATACATACAATAACACAATAATTACTTTGAATAGAATAACCTAAGCCTATATATATATATATATATATATATATATATATATATATATATATATATATATACTAGTCGTTTACCCGCGCTAAGCGACGGGTATATAGTTTGTTACGTCAATTATTTACATTCAGAAACATGTTATATTTTAAGGAATGTGCGTTACTTTTTGACAAATCGTTATCGTTCAGTGTTTACATGTCATTCAGAAATGTCTCTTTAAAAGTATGTTGCTATTTTAGATTAAATATAGATGTATGTTGATATATTTTGTTAAAAAAATAATATTTATTATGAACGTTCTACTTGGAGAGTCTCATATAGCTGGTTTAATGAATTTTTTCCTTTCGGCCTTTCGGCCAACGGGGAATATTTCATGGACAACAGACGACATGTAGGGAGTTGTTTCATCTCGGTGAAAAAGGATTGATAAATTGTTAATTTATTTTTGTTGATTACTATCCTTGCGTAATAAGGGCTTTGAATATTAGCATCTTGTGTAATTTGTTTAATTTTCTTAATAGTTTTAAGATCAAATTCTTAATGTTAAATGTTATATATAAGTAAGTTGCGTGTAAATTAAAACATATGCATTTCCATTAGTTTGAATATGTTCACGAAAAAGGTGCACACACATCGGTACAAAAAAAACCCAGTTTGGTCAACTCCGATATAAAATACAAAACGCCTTGAAATTAGAATTTATAATGTTTAAACGAGACCACATACTTAAAATCCTAAAAAAAAATTGATAAAGTACAACCAGTTAAATTGTAATGTTCTTTTGTAAGCATATAGCGGACAAATAACTTCCATATATTATTTTTAATAAAAAACTTAATAATAAATCAAGAAAATAACATCAAATTTGTTAAATACAAGAAATGGCAATGGTCTTCCATTTATATGTTTAAATGTAGAAAAAAGAGTAGCCACTTTTTAGTTCATCATGAAAAAAATTCAAAGTACTTTGCTATTATGAGTAAATATTAAAGTGCATCGTTTTAATTGGTTTGTTTTGCAAAATATATTTTCTTTGCCTCAAAGAAAAAAATTCAAAGTACTTTGCTATTATGAGGCAAAAAAATTCAAAGTACTTTGCCTCAAAGAAAAAAATTCAAATAGATGGTTTGATTCATTCAAACTACATCTAGGGGTAAAAGTGTCATCGTGACTGGTTTCTAAACAAAATTAAGATAAATAATGAAATCAGATTACTCAGGGTGAGACTAATTATTATAATAAATTCATCTAAAAAGGAATAGATTGTTTACCACGTGATAACTGTGTGACAGACCATGACGAAGATCAAGTGCCATGAATCTATCATGACCCTTTAGTAATACAATTTCCTCTTTCTGTTTCAGCTAATGATAACCCTTTCTGTTTTTGTTTCTAGGTATGTTGTCCTCGGTTGCCAAAATAATTGAAGTGAAGTTACAAAAGATGTGAACATGTTTGAATTAATGGATGGTTTGATTCATTCAGGTTATATTTAGGGGTAAAATTGGTATTGTGACTGTTTTACTAAACAAACCTGATGCACATAATGTGTAAGAAAAAACATATCCTACTCCAAAGCAAAAGCTGTGTAAATTCCTACACATAAATCCATATGAATTTGGAGCAAAAATTATGGTTAAGTGTTAGTAAGTTTTTCAATATGCAACCAAATCCTTTCAAAATTATGCCTCTAACTATTAAACTTAACAAAAAAAACAATATTAACCCAAAATAGGATTTCACATGAAACTTAATGAGGCCACATTTGAATTGTGAATCTAATCCCAGAAATTGGAGAAGGCTTTGAATCTTGCTTCACATTAGCTTGATTTCTAGCTTCTTCAGAGTACAATCCTATAACATAGAAACAAAATAAAAGAACAATGAAATCACAAAAACATGTACTGACTTACCCAGTTGCAACCCCTCACATAGATGCACTTATAAAAACCCGTGTACACAAACAAACAAATTTTAGTCCCCGTACACAAACATATTTTAGAACCATGTCTAAAATTAATACAATAAAAAATGGATAGAGGTTTGTGCTTATTTTATTATGGTAGAAGATATGAAGTCTATATCTATATAGAATCTCTCTTTATACATTACTACATAAAAAGGCGACCTTCCACATAAGCTAAAATAAAATAAAGACTAAGCTTTTCGTGTTTTACCGTGTTCTGTCCAAGAGAAGCTCTAATAGCCAAAACACAGTATCGCCCAATGAACAACTCCAATCCCAAGCTTTCTAAACTACAAATCGGACCCTGAAATCCCAAGATCAGATATATAGAAATGAACAACAACGGGTTCTTGAAAGGATCTAAAAACGAAAAAAAACTCACTTTTTAGAAACCGTACGACGTGTTCAATCTTCTATAGTGTAAGAAACAAATCATATACACAAACATTGTTAAACAAACACAGTCAGAGAAACGAAAGAGATGGAGAATAAAGATGTTTATGGTTGTAAAGAGAAAGAGAACGACCTCTGATGCGATTTTGTTTGGTAGTGTGCAATGATGGAGCGTTGCTAGTGAAAAGGATGGTGATGTGGTGGATGGTGGTGAGCATGGAGCGTGCGTAGTTGATGAAGATGAGGCAGAGCATGTAAAGAGGGATATGATGTGGTGGAGGTGGTCGATGGCTGAAGTGAATGCGAAAAAGAAGAGCCCTAGCACAACAATGAGGGCAACCTTGGGTATTTACGTCGTCTGGGAGATAAATGAGTCGAGAAAAAGGAAGTTGACCGATTCAATTCACAAATGTGATGGAATACTGGGTCAATCTTATCCGAGAACTTATAAATTCAAAATTTGTATTATGACTTTTTCAAAGGTTTAACAAAAAAATTTGTAGTTTATAAAGTTGTTGTATATGATGTTTTAAGAGTTGTATCTCTTAAAATTTCGCAAAACATGTTAAATGTTTATTAAGGTATATATATATATATATATATATATATATATATATATATTCAAGCATTATTTCTATTGATCATGAAACATTATTTCCAATATAGAGTGAACGATCGTCAAGCAATAAATAAATAAATAAATAACAAATATAAATTTTATTAATATAGCAATAAAACATAATAAAAAATATTTCCAGTCTCCGGTTTGCACTTCACCGTATGTAATCTTTTTGTATGTCTAGATTAGTTGACAAATTTTTTTTTATCAAGAAACATGATACGGCCGGTCATAGGAAATTTCAAGTTTGCACTTTGCACTTCTATATTCACATATAGATGTTTCTTGTTATTTTCATTATTATAGTTATTATATAGATTATAATTAATGTTATTTGAACGTCATATTCACATATAGATATTTCCAGTCTCCGGTTTGCACTTTTTTTAGTCCCTTGCTTACTTATTTTCATAATGAAATCGTTGAAATAAAGTTTGTACTTATGATTAAATTTGACGTTTATATTTAACGGGTACCCGTGAACCGAACCGCGGTTACCCGTCTTCATACAGTTCGGTTCGGTTCGGTTTTTTCGCCAATACGGTTCGGTTTCGGGTAGTGCACATGAGGTACCCGCTCCGTGGTCACGGTTCACAATTTTATTACTATCCGAGCCGAACCGCCCCGTGAACACCCTTAGATCATGTTACAATTAAAAAAATGGATTTTATTAAAAAAAATTAACGAAATGGACCGTTTTTCTAAATTACTCAAATCTTTAAAACCAAGCCAACAGCTGGGCCATATCCGGCTGTATTCAAGCTTTCAAAAACAGTTGAAAAATCACATGCATCACTTTACTCTCTATCAAACGATGTACCATTCACAAGAAAACTGCTTCAACCCCTCCTTTTTTCGTATCTAAATTAAGTCCCATCTTTAAACCCCACAAATTCATAGTTACACATCAAAAATGGCGCACAATGATGAACAAGATCGAGAAACCAAAAGATTCCACTACCCACTCGACCCTAACAGCTACCAGATCCTCCAAGAGATCGGGAGAGGATGTAGCGCCATAGTCTATAAAGCCCTATGCACCACCACCTCCACCGTAGTTGCTATCAAATCCATCGACCTCGACCGGTCAACCACAGATGATTTCGAAAATATCCGCCGGGAAGCCAAAACAATGTCCCTTCTATCTCACCCAAACGTTCTCAAAGCCCACTGCTCTTTCACAGTCGCCAGTCGTCTGTGGGTGGTGATGCCTTTCATGTCCGCAGGCTCTCTGCAATCCATCATAACCTCTTCTTTCCCTAACGGCATTTCAGAGAATTGTATTTCGATAATCCTTAAAGAAACTCTAATGGGTCTACGTTATCTACACGATCAAGGCCATCTTCATAGAGACATCAAAGCTGGGAACATTTTAATGGATTCAAATGGATCAATCAAGTTAGCAGATTTCGGTGTTTCAGCGTTTGTTTACGAATCAAGTTCTCGTTGTCTTATGCTTAAAGAAATCACAGGAACGCCTTACTGGATGGCACCTGAAGTTATTCATTCACACAATGGGTATAGCTACAAAGCTGATATATGGTCATTTGGAATCACTGCATTGGAATTAGCATACGGAAGACCTCCACTATCGCACCTTCCATTCTCAGAATCTTTAGCAATGAAGATAACAAAAGGTATACGATTTTCACATTACCAGAAAGAAGAAGAAAAACTGCTCAAGAACACGAAGTTATCAAAATATTTCAAGGACATGGTGGGATTATGTCTGGATCAAGATCCTCTAAAACGCCCTACAGCAGAGAAACTGTTGAAGCATTATTTCTTCAAAAACTGTAAAGGGTGTGATTTTCTGGTGAAGAATTTGCTGCAGGGATTGCCTTCTGTGGAACGTAGGTTTAAAGAAACTAAGTTTGAAAGAGTTGGATCAATGAGCAAAGAACAAATGGAAGACGATAATGATGAAGAGGTAGACGAGTTTTTGATTGGGAGTAATGTGAAGAAAAACCGAAGGATTAGTGGGTGGAACTTCAATGTGGATGCTTGTGAGCTGGATCCTGTGTTTCCTGTTGGGGATACAAGTTATAGATCGAAGAGCTTGGACGAAGGTACGTAAAACATGCTTACTATCACTAATGGAAGTGTGGGTATTAGCGACGGATTAATCCGTCAGTATCCTCTTCAATGAAAGATTAACATTTAACAACGTGGTTCTGTTTGTCGCAGAAAAGTTCTTCCTGGTTTTTACACTAGAACTAGGGATAGGATTTTCTAAAAGTAACAATGAATTCAAAAATCTCTTTTTAATTTATCTGTAAATTACTGACAAAAAATAAGCATTCTGTAAAGAATTGAAAGGAATTCACGGCCTTAACAGGGACAAATATAATTGCTATTTAGCAACGCCTTTTCTGTCTCTTGGTATTTTTAAGGACAACGAGAAAACAAAATACGTAAGTAATATTATCATACATTGAATGTGTCATGGCTATTTTTTAGTAATGTGTAACTTATATATTTCAAAGATGTACTTCAGTTACAACCTTTTAGCTTTGATTTTGTTTATATAGGCATGCATCCTCTGTTTTTCTATGTAGGTCTGCATATGAACGCGAATCCTCAAAAAGATGTATTTGCTAAACAAATTACATTTGGCGGAGAAAGTATAATTTCTGAAATGAGAGGGGAGTTAGATGGAAATAAAGTAAGTTTACCTAATGTGGTGACCATTGATGGTGGTGGCGGTGATGAGGAGGTTGATATTGTTGGTGGGAGTGGTGGTGTTGATAGAGAAGTTGTGGTGGGGAGTTTGATGACATTGAAGAGGAGTTTGGATGATCAAAGAGAGAAGGTGGTGTATATGCTTTCCATGGTCGGAGCTGAAGAAACTATATGTAGTGGTGGTGAACTTGATAGCAGAGAAGATTCATTAATGCAAATGATAGAGAAGTTAAGACTGGAGTTGGATAATGAAAAGAGAAAGAGATCTAGTTTGGAAATGGAGTTGGAGTTTTTAAAGTTGCACATAACTAGTAACTCTGATGTCTAAGGTTTTATATCTATCTTGAAAAGCCCTTTACGGTTTATATATGATTATCTATTTATCTCTTAAGACTTGTAATTTTCAGAGTAAACGGTAAAAAAACGTTAGTAAAAAAGCTTTTACTGTGTTTGTAATATTATAAAAGTCCTAAGTTTTTTACGCGCAATTGAAAAAAGGCATTAATATTTCTTTTATTATTACTATTAAGGTCACAACTTTTTTACAGAATTATCATTCTACTCCACTTAACGAGTTTTATGGTTAAGTCTATTATATTTTTTACAGGGCCGGCCATGAGGTGTGCAGCCGCACAGGTCCCCGGCCCAAAATTTTGCTAAATTATTTAATATAATATTTTAAATTGTATATATTTTATATTATTCAATATCAAAAGTAAAATCTGTTTGGTTCAGCTGGTTGAAGACTCTGGCTTCGTATGTTTTTCTACAAAAGTACTTTTTGAGCATTTTTCCCTTCTGATGGGTAGACGTTTCTCAAGTACACGTTTTCTTCCGCAAACATGGAAAAAGACAAAAGACATTTAACCACTTCCAAAACAAACAAAACCTCCATGTTCCGCTTCCTTTTCCCTATCTTTTCCGTGTTGATGTAGGTTCGAATCTTCCATACAACACTTTTTGACTTGCATTGATGCTTAATTTAAATAGATTTTTACTCACGTTACACTTTCAGTCCTTCATGTATGCTTCATATTTTACAATCTATTACACCGTCCAAGTTCCTTACAAAATCAGTTTTTAGAAATACATATTTATCCCCTCAATTTTAGAAAAATGACACTTGTCCTTCTTTTCATTAATTAAACTTTACTTTTCAGACAAATTACCATCTTATATTTTATTTTTTATTATATATATATATATATAAATAAAAAGTGAATATAAGATTGTTAGGTATCTAATCTTATATATAGAACTTATCAAAAACTATATAATTTGGATTAAATCGTTCATAATAATAGAAGATTATTTGTTTTTTATATATTCTCCTAGTTAATCTCCAACGTAGGCGTCTTCGTCCTCCATGTTATCTATTCATTTTCTTCATTTTTCATTTAATTTCTTATGAAAATATTATTCAAATAACCCATTATATAACCTAAACAAAATCCAATCTGGAAGAAATCAAATTGCGGATATGTTCGTTTATTTTTGAAATTTCTATTCATGATTAAATCAACAATACCGCATTAACAATTTTGAAACATAAAATTATTTTTTTGACAAATCATATTATTTTTTTCTTCATTGCTTTTTCTTTTGCTACAAAACTACTATTTGTGGTGATGGAATTAAATTGAAATTATGAAAGCTAGTGTTTCACAAATGCATAAGAAATTATATATTATAAAATAAATAAAAATGTTTGAAATGGTTTTTGAGGTCGTAGCAGCAAATGTTTGCAAATGAAAAAGCAATTTGTTTTCTAAATGGTTGTTAAAATCATAAAATAAATGATTAAAATAATAATTCTGAATGACGAGGTGATTTAACTGATTTTTTTATCGAAACTACACTAGTTTTATCAAGTTCTACACCCAAACTTGCATACATGACAGCCATATATTCACCAAGCTCATATATATGATATATATATATATATATATATATATATATATATATATATATATGTATATATATATATATACATATATATATATATATATATAGACATATATATATATATATATATATATATATATGTCTATATATATATATATAGTTAGGTTATAATGTGGATGACATCTATTGTTTGGATGTAGGGATGAATATGGACCAATGGTTTTGATTATTTTAAGAAATTGATTTACTAATATTATTAATTTAAAGAAAATAGAATATATATGTCATTTAATTAAAAAAAAGTAATATTGTACATTTGCATTATCTTCAAATTACGAAACATGAGTTTAATTAATGAAATTTTCGGAATTTAAGGGATATTTGATTCTTTTTATTTTGAATTCTGATTTTTTATAATTAATTCAATTTTAATTCTAACGTTGTTTTTAATTTTACCCGATTCTTTATTCTGCCAGAATGACATTCTATGAGAATGCAAGAATACTAATTTTGCAGAATAACATTGCATTTGAATAACATAGCATTTGAAAGGTTAGAATGTTAATGTAAAAGATATATTCTTGCATAATCTGTTTACACTTTTATACGAATGAAAATAAAAATACATTTATAAAGTGAAATACATCAAATGAATAAAAAATCTAAAAAACAACATTCTTGCAATTCTTGAAGAATCCCCATCTGCTCTTGGTTTGTTTCCAGTATTTATATAATGTAACACTTAAAAAGATTCATTTTTTAAATAATACCCTATCATTTGACCTGCAGACTTGCAAACAGAATAATAGACATTCTGTGAGAATATGAGAGTGCTATCTTTCCTTCAAACACTGCTAGTTTTGCTCGTATTTATCTCAACTTATATTCAGCTTTCATAAGCTCGGTTTCTGGGAATTCCCATGCATCAGAAAGCTGCTGCAACTCACTGGAACTATTTCCATAAACCTGGTGAACATTTTCATGAACAAAATTGGTCATAATTTTATAAGTCTTGCATAAAACATATTAGGTAAAATGTAAGTGTTATGATTGATAATCTATAAATACAAAATGCAGAAAAAAGTACCTTTTGGGTAAGTGTCTGACTTTTTGACTTCAATGAATGAAGGGCAAAGGAAAGCTCAAGCTGCATTTGCTTGAGTCTAAATCTTATAGGATGTGGGCTTACTTCCTTATTTCTATCTTCAAGTTGCAAATCAGGCTGTATGTTGGATGTTTTTTCTTTTGTGTAAACTTTTCCATAATCAATCTCTGCAGCTGCATTTGAACAAAGGGTTGATATTGACAAATTATGGGTGAAGAAAGATAGATATGAAATCTTTAAGGGTACCAAGTTTATAAAGAAAATACCTTGAAAATCTGAGAAGTGTTTTCTCTATATGAACATCAAATGATAAACTTCTATGTTTCTTTAATCTACTCAAAATGCCTTCTACCCTTGTATCTTCATCTACTTCCATTTCACTGATAAAAAGAATTACTTTGGATCAACATGGAGTAGTATTCTATGTCTTTTAACTCAATTTCCATCAATGGGTATCAACTTCTCTTTTTTAAGTAGAAGAATTTACGCTATTCTTGAATTTGTTAAATGGGGTAAACCAATTTTCATTCTATATTCAAGAATCCAAAATAATTTTCTTCAGTCATTCTAAATGGCATTCAATTTCTATTACGTGTTATAAGGTTGAATGTACCAGGCAAGTTTTTCAGGTGAATCTTACATCACAAATTTTGAATATTTTTTTTTTCTATATATAACTATCGAGTGTTTTTTCATTTAAAGAATCCTAAATCAAGAACTTATATTAAAGATTATAGACTTAATAACAAAAATCTTACAGTGATCTACCAGAGGGTGAAGCAGATTGATGAGATGAACTTTGAAAACCCGAAGAATTGTCATATACATCTTCTATTTGTTGAAGAGTCTCAACCCTTGTTTGTAACTCCCTATTATCATCGAAATAATTGTTTGCGAAATTATTTTCATCATTGGAAGAGACCCAACCCAATGTCGGCCACCCACCTGTTTTAGAAATCGCATCCACTAAATCGGTGTATCAATACCTATAAGTGATGTTACATCAGAATCTCGCAAGTTCTTTGAAAACCTGAAGACCAAACCCACAAGAACAAGCATTCAAATTTGAAAGGGAAGAGAAAAGAATCGAGCCCTAGAATCAAATCACGATCTCGAAAAACGATAAGGGAAGAGTGAACAAATGGAGACGGTGGAGAAGATCGGAGGCGATTGCATAATGGAGTCGGTGGTGTAGACATCATTCTTCAGCCAGCGCCACAGTTGAACAGATTGTGATTTTTGTTGTCAACGTAGGATGAAAAGGAGGAAAGAATTCAAGAACATAAAAAACCCTAGTATTCTATGCGGATTAGGTATGAATCAAGTAATTTAAAGTCTCAATTTAAAACTGATTTTGGGAAAAACAATAATGTAATATATATGTAATTAGCATGATTTTAGGAGAATATTTGTGGAAATTATCTTATCTTTAAATAAAAGTACCAAACTAACCTATTTTATTTAATTAATAGTTTAAGTTTTTCTAAATTCGGATTGGTGCCTACGTCCACACAATAAATGTTCATCCACATATGAACCTACCCTCTCTCTCTCTCTCTCTCTCTCTCTCTCTCTCTATATATATATATATATATATATATATATATATATCGGGGCCTATTTGTTACGATTTGCACATTGCCTTCAAAATCAACGAAAAGGCCCTGATTTTTTACAAAATCAGTCCTAAAATTGGGTTTAAAGTTCAAATTTAATCCCTATAATTTGCAAAAAAATTACATCACATGGCTTTTTAACTTTATATTTCGTTTTTATATATTTTATTTATTTTCATTTATATATATATATGCTCTTTTATTTTCGTTATATATATATATATATATATATATATATATATATATATATATATATATATATATATTTCTTTTATTTTCGTTAACCTTATATTTCGTTTTTATATATTTTATTTATTTTCGTTATATATATATATATATATATATATATATATATATATATATATATATATACTAACCGTTTACCCGCGCCAAGCGACGGGTGTGGATAATTTTTTCAGAAATTAGTTTCTAGAGTTGATAAGTTCTTTTGTTCAAAGAATTTATTACATCTAAACAATTATCAATAAAAGTCATGCTAGCAGAAAAGAAATCAATAAGAATTAAAAATGAAAAGTTAAGATTCTTTACAAATATACATGAACACATTATTGATTATGCATTATTAATCGTGCAACACTTCTTTATACACAACATTTGCTTAGTTTCTTTTCGACATACAATGATTAGTTTCAATTTAACGATTTGGTTACTTCACGACGAACAATATATTCTTTAATGTATTCGTCGCT